TGAAAATATCTAAAGTGGTATACTGGCTGCAGAATTTTGTTTAAGGGGAAAGAACTATGATCTGCATCTTTCAGCTGTACACACCAAAAGAATTTATCATGAAGTAAAAGCCCATTCTAAGGGCCATATGAGCTTTAAAATTTAAAGTGTATCTGGTTGCTCATGAACACCTTTCTAGCTGAACAAAATAAGCACCTGGACTTGTGTATATTAATTGTCCATTTGATATACACAAATAAATGCATGTACAGTACAATGGGATATCTACATTAAAAAAAAAACAACAAAAAAGACCCCTTAAATGTGTGAGATTATCTGAGATACTTCTGCCTTAGTTGTACCTATTCCTAACAGCATCACTCATATGAGTATGTTACACATTCAGATGTGCACAATAATTCCAACAGTGGCCAGGACACGGTTGGTCTGTAAAAGTCATTGCACAGACTACTGTGTTCTACTAAAGTATTTTTCTGAGAAAAAAAATCTCCAATTCTCTCTAATACCTGTGAACTAAGACTTGTGGGGTCATTCATAAGCCCATGCACAGTAAGATATACCACTTATTCCATGTTTTCATTCTGTGAAAGATAGAATTTGTCTACAATCTCTCCACTACCCTCCGTGATATCTTGCATATTGTTTGTCAACCTCAGAGCTAAAACAATATTCTGAAATATCTCAAGTCCTTTTAATTAAAATAATTGTTACGATTTCTCAGTCTAAAAAAAGCTGCAGCACACCTGAACAGTCAAGTTACAATTTAGTTTTCCCATCTGAAAATGTGTATGAAGTTGGAACAACACTAGGTTCTTCCTGAATTTTCAGTGCACTGCCAAGATAAGCATCCAGATGAAGCTGAAACAGTTATCTGAATTACACTGGAACCTCAATGGCCCACCAAAATTAGCACTTGTCTGACATTGATTTAGCATCTGGATGACAGTAAATTTAAGTGGAACTTGATTTTTGCCTTCAGGAATCAGGGAGTGCTTCCCAATAGAGCACCTGTGTCCAATAGTGAAGCACAGGGATTCTCTTTGACTTCAGTCTGCCAACAAAAATATGCTTTCCATAACGAGCTGTACATTGTGTCCTTTGTTATAAGCCTCACTCATGACCACAGCAATATTTACATCATATTACATATGACCTTCATATTTCATTGCTGCAACTCATCCTCAGGGACAAAGCTCCATGTTATAAAAACTCAGGCAGTTGTAAAACACAGCAGCCCTGTGTATTTAGCAACAGGTCATGGTGATAAGTTTGCCCTGGAGTTCAGCTGGCTATGCACTGAATGCAGAGTTTGATTTCAAAGTCTGTCCTGATAATCAAAGCTTTCTGTGAAACAGTATTTAAGCACATGAGTGTCATGATAACCCTCTAAATTCTACTACAGCAGTAAAATCCTTGGCAAATGAGGGAGGTTTCCAGGGCAGGGACAACAGAACTTTTTCAGACACAGGACTTACACTTTGTAATTTGTTCCCACAGCATACAGAACAAGGTTTATAAATAAATGCTCTTTGATGTGCCTCTTCCCAAGATCCTTACATGTATACCCAAGTATACATATAAACACACACACTTTTGTGCACACACACTCAAAACACAAAGCTTCATCTCCTAAAAGCTAAGGAGGAAAAGAGATGTTTATTTTAAAGACATTGGATACTTTGGTAATAGAGGAAAATTTTTTGCTCTGAAGACCCTACTTGCGTGTTCTCTTTAGTCTCACTGCAGTAAAATTCACTGTTCCTCAAGCCTGAAGGTACACCATTAGGTAATGTATTAACTTGGTTTTAAAAATGTAGTTTGTCATTTGATGACATCTGGAGAGCAATTTCCATGCCTCAACAATAAACAATTTTCTTGCCACTTAAATTTCTGTGTAACTAGTAGTCTTATTTTGTCAGAGCTTTTACAGTTCCATGCTGCAGATCCAAAGCCCGCTTTCCTAAGGAAACAATATGTAAGTGGTCCATCCACCTATATGTCAGACTCACATTGAGTCCACTGTTCAGTTTCAAATAATTGGACAGGAGCTAGAATGCTCTAAGGCCATTTAAATTCTTCATGAAAATTGGTGATTGTTGAGTGACAGAAATCAGAGAAAGGCATCCTTTGAGGAAAAAGTTTCAGGGTAAGCTTGGTATTTTCTGTGATGCTGCTGGGGCTGAGTGGTGTATTTCTGCTTCTGTACAAACTGCAGCACTTTCTGGGAGGAAGGAGAAATAGACCATGGAAGTATGGGTCCTTGTGGCCTGAAGAGAGGTGGAGAGACACGACTCAAATCCATATGAAACTAGACACCATTAATTTTTTTTCCAGATGAATTTTTATTTATTTATGACCAACTCCAGTGACAAATTGATATACATAAGGGATACAGAGGCTGGAAGATCTTTCGTATTCATGCAGTAGTAATTTTCCCAAGGGAAAGCTAATAGTTCCTAATATTAATGATATCTTCTACTAAGATTATGAACTTCTAGCAAAATCTACTTGGATGGGATAGACTGCATGTCCCGCTTTACATTCTGGAGGCATTTGTATCTTCATAAATCTTGGCCCTTAGTTTTTATGTCATGCTCTTTAGTGACCCCTGAAACAGTGTAGGCAGACTGTATGAAGTTAAGAATTAGGTAATGTCTCTATTGAATAAATGAATACAGGATAAACTCCTAGTACATTTGCTTTCACTGCTAGTGACAGCCAGTATGACATGGACAGGGAGGGAAAGAGCATCCTCATTTCCCTTAGATGGGTTTTAGAGCCCCCAACCACAGGGGCATGTTGGCAGGAAAATTCAGAAAAAGCATGCATGCCCCATTCTACAGATGTTCTCTGTCCACCCTAAAAAATGGATTTTAAATCAGAACAGTTTGTGTTTCACAAACACTAAAGATATTTGTACAAAATAATGTGTCAGCAGCCGTTTGAGTATATTCAAATTGCTTCTGAAATGTTGAAGTCAATTGTATTAGACCACTTGAGGGATGGTGCAGTTTGCTTTGCATAAGCAAAGAGTGGAAAGAAAAATAGGAAAGTAAATCTCTGATAATTAAAATATGTTCTAATGGGAGTGTGGACAAGAAAGCTTGCTCCTCTTACTGTTTTTTTGTAGAAAAAAACCCCCATTAATTTGCATTGATAAGAATAGCTTCACTTGCTATGCTTTTTCTTAAGCTTCTTCCTTGATTTTGCAATTTGGAATATCTGAGACAAATTATATGACTCAACTATGTAATCAGTGATGAGGGTACATAAGTTGCTAGCGAAGTGCAAGCACACAGATAGGATCTGGAATCAGAAATTCTATCAGACTACACTTGCTAATACTTCCATCTACGTGCCTGGTAAGACTCTACGTGTTGCATGAGTGACGTTCTGTAAGCATTAGTCTGGAGTTTTCCTCTGGATTATCAGAATTAACAGCTGCTGTCAGCTGGTCTCAAAATCCCAGGACTTGGTTTTATGAAATGTTACGGTGATGGTGAGTTTACCTCCTCCTCTGTGAACGCATCTAACACTTGATAGCATCTCCATTTTAAAAACAAACAAACCACAATCACGTTCTGTTACCAGCAGCACTGAGGGCCACATATAGTAAGTCTAGACAATGCAGATAATTTGGTAAGTTAATTTTATGCTGGTTATTAATTAAACTGTCACAAGAAGGCATTATTCACAGACTTCAAGGAGTAGAAATGAATAGTTTTCCTGGATTGTAACTGCGCTACAAGCAACATATACACATTATTTTGGTGGAAGTAGGCTACATACAGAGATTATCGTATATAAAACAGCTGGCATAGTCAGACCTTGCCAGTTTTGCAGCTAGTGAAATAATTTAGGCAATCATTTATTGTTTATGTAGAATTTTTTTCCATTTACTTTGTTACACATAATATTTTGTGTATTACATAGGTATTTTTAAAGTTCATATATAACTTGAAGCATATAGAGCTAAGGAGGTCTGGTTTTCTATGGATTTGTGTTTTGAAATTTACATCATGTATTATAACTCCTTGCTGTCTAAAATGAGCATTTCTCTGAGGCATTTTTCTAACTTCGGGCAGTATTGAGGCATCTGTTTCCATGAAGAAATTTTAGTACTCTATGCCCAAAGCAAAGTTGTTTTTGGTCAGCCAGGGGTTCAAAAATCTATTACAGTGGGAATTCACTCCTAGTCCATATTTGTGTCCTAAAAGGATACCAGGTCTAAATGCCTATATTTATTAGTCTAATTTTGCTTTAATGAATCTGTCCCTTAATCCACTGGGAATATTGTTTTAAAGTCATTGAAAATGGGGCATGAAGACATGTAATACATCACAAACTAAATGGATCTCTAAATAGGTAAAGGGTCATTTGACAGATATGCATGTCTTCTTGCTGTATATCCGGTGTATATTCAAATGAAGAATTGTAGTGAGGGAGGGGTTAGTGTCTAATGAACATTTTGTAAGTAGGTCCATTTATGAAGTAAGATGCAAACTATAAGCAACATTCCACAAACTCTATTTTATATGTTATAAAAAGTTTAAATCCTTTTCTGCAAAGACAGTGGAGTATCAGACAATCCGTGTACCCTGACAAAGAGCTAGTCTGTCAGAGACTTCTTTCCGAGAGCTGTGGATTAATCACTGCATACCCTGTGCTTCAGAATTGTTTCCAGAACTTTAAGGTATCATCTAATGATTTGAATTTACATTTTTAAATATATATTTAATATTTTATGGTATAAGCTTGCTGTGGGAATTAATTCAAAAGACCATAACATGGTAACTGCATGACTTCAGAATAAAATACTGTTTCATATTCAAACTTAGTGGGTGAAGCTGATTTGATTTTCAAAGATCAAAACAATTCAGTATACATAGACAATACACAAAGCATAAAATCTTAGAGGAGCAGCTAAATGGTCAACTAAGTTATAAAATAGATACCATTCAAAACAGAGTCATAAATTTTCAAAATCTCATATCTTTTAGGTGTCCAGGATATTGTATTACCTACTCCTCTGTACAACCTAAAAGTTAATGGTTACACAAAATGAGGCATTTTCTGGTCAGCAAGGGAATTAGTTATGTTTAATTGGTCTCCTGGTAATCTGTTTTGTGGTATTTTCCTTCAAGGCTAAGCTAATCAGTAGACAAAAATCCTCCTACCCACCAGCAAAGACTGGAGAGAGCCTTTGTCTTCTAGGATGGGCGGAATGGCTGCAGCTATGTTCGTTTCCCAAGACTCCTGGCAAATCACTGTAGAAGAGTGCTGAATTCACAGGCAAGAGCTGCTGCTTCAATCCCTTCCCCCAGGGAAGATCAGGAACAAGGTGATTCATGAGAAATGCTTGTCCGAGTGAAGCCTTCAGTACAGAAACACCGTCTGTGGCCTGCACATGCAGTTATTGATGATCATGCAAACCCCCACAGAATTTGAGCACAGCTTGCTTACAATATTAAAAAGTAACTCAGGATGGATTATTTAATTTTCTTTTTATTTATTTATTTTATTTTTTTTACCTGGACTCGCCAGATGCTGTCCCGCAATGCTGCAGCCAGGTCCTTTCTGCCCTTCCTGACACTGGCAAATGTCACAAAGACCAGAACAGGCACGGATAACAAAAATAGCTTTTAAGCTGTATCTATCTCTCCGGGCCACATGCAGTATTTAGTCCTTCTAAAACACATCACGTGCTGTGTTTTCCCACCTTTCTAAATTCTTTTGCACAAGTTTTTTCCCTACCCCGCCAGTTTCCCCGGGAAGCAGGCCAGCCCTTCGGCGAGGGAATACCACCTGACTTCCACAGACTGTGGGAGGACACAATTTAGGAACGCTTTTTAGTCTCAGAACGCTGCTTAGTCTCAGAATTCTTGTATATTCCCCAAAGCTATCTGAAGTTTCTTATCAGTTCTTGTCTGAATTCTTATCAGTTCGTATTTGCCTTTCTGCGGTGCTGTAAAGCTATCACGAAGACCGAGCACAACTGAACTCGTGAGACTTCCACACTCACGATCTAACACTAAGAAATTTCTCCCTTCTTATGTCTTTAACACTGCCGCTGCCTCTCGGAACACTGAGACTACTGGCGTGGCACTGGTGGCGTTGTCGCTGTCCCCTGGGACACAGCGGTGATAGGAACACTGTGGGCACGGGAAGCACTGGGGGTACTGCTGCTGTGCCTCGGGACACTGGGTACCACTGGTGACACTGTCACTGTCCCCTCACGGCGGGGGTTGGTCCCACAGCACTCACGGCGCCCACAGACGCTCGGAATAACCACATCCGCCGCGCGCCGCCTACGTGCCTCGAGCCCCGTCCCGCGCGCTACGAAGATTCGGGGCGGGCCCAAGCAGGAGCGGACAGGGAGTGGGCCCTCTCCTCTGCGCATGCGCGAGCGGCACTCTTCCCCCCCCCCCCCCCCCCCCCCC